CGGCATCTTCAGATGGGGGGTCTTGCTCCGGCGACGGCGTCCGATGGCCGACGCGTCGGACGCCCGAACGTGCGGTTTTTGGCTAGCGGCCAGGGACGCCCGGTGGCTATACGTGACAAAAACAAGCGCTCGGATTGGGACGAATGGCTAGCCGTTTCGCTGGCTTGAGTACCAGACACGTACGCGCGGGCCGGGAGCGGAGACCTCTGAGCCCAAGCTTCCGACGCACGGCAGCCCGCTCTGGTGGTCGGAGTGGCCTTCCATGACCCCTAGGCGTAAGCCTGACCGTCGGTGCCCCCATCGGAGGTGGTTCTGGCGTCGACCAAATTCCACCGCGCGGGCCTCGTCTCCGCGGGGCTGCCGCGGCGTACAAGTCCGTGGCCGCGACGCGCGCCACCATCGATGGCGTTGGATACGCCCCTTGGTTTTGGGTGCGACGTCGGTGTGACGGCTGGGGTAGGCCATTTACGTTGCGTAAGATGTACCACCCCGCTCCGCACGCAGGGGTGCCGCCGACGCCAGTGGACGCCTCAGTGGCGGAGCAACACCCCCCCTTCCAGGCAGATCCATCAGTGCGCGCAGTCTGGACGCGCGGGTTGACGCCGCCAAGATGCTCGGGCACACGAATCTCCTCGCCATCGTCTGCACGCTCGCTGCAGCGCATGCCCTACGCCCGCCCCACGCGCGCCAGGCCCCGGTCTTGTCCGTGGCGTCGAGGACGCGCCGGAGCTCCGCCTGGGGGACCGCGGCGGCGTCCGGTGGCGGCGGCGGCGGCGGCGGGCCCGCGTCAAGCTTCTTCAACCTCGCCACTCGCGGCGGCGGCGTGGCGCAGGCCGACTCGCCGACGCCAATCGCGGCCTACTACGCCTTCGCGGGAATCCTCCTCCACAAGTGGACGTCGGGCATGGACGACGCGCGCGCGCTGCCCGCGGCGCTGTTCGGGCTCGCGGCGTGCGCGGCCGCGCACGCCGTCGTCACGCACTGGTCCGCGCTCTGCGCGTCGTGCTCGTCGCGCTGGCGCGCGCTCCGCGGCAAGGGCGGCTAGCGCCCGACGACCGCGCCAAGCTCCCGTAAGTCGGTCTGTGTGCGCGCGTCCCCCCGCGCCGCTCCACCGGGGTTTCTTGTGCTTAACGCCGGTCGAGTGCCGGCGGAGTGGTCGGGCGCCCCCCCCCCCCTAGGCGTGGGACTCGTCGAGCGTGACGCCCTCGACCTTGGACTCGTCGTCCTCGGCCTCCTTGATCATGTTGAGGAAGTTGGCGTCCACCGTGCGGAGCTGCTCCTCCATCTTGGCGTCCTTCTTCTCCTTCTCGTCGGCGCACTCCTTCTTGCGGGCCTCGTCCTTCTTCTCGCGCGCGCGGCGCAAGTCGCGGTCCCGGAGCTCGAGGTTCTTCTCCTGCTTCGTCTCGCGCTCGAGCATGGACGCGATGGCGTTCTTCTCGTTGGCCTGGGGCGCGGCGAGGGACTCGCAGACCTCCAACAGGGACACGGTGCCGTTCGCGTCGCCGACGGCCACGAGGCGCCCGGAGCCGTTCGACACGGAGATGGCCGAGAGCGCGGCGTCGCCGACCTTGTGGCTGTAGGCGACCTCGTTCTGGCGGTAGAAGTAGTCCCAGATGTCGACGACGCCGTCCATGCGCGTCACGTAGAAGACGCCCGCGCGCGTCGGGCTCCAGCAGCCGGACGTGAGGTACGCGGAGTGGTACTTCGTCGTCATGATGGGCGTCTTCAGGTCCTCCATCCATATGCGCGCCGTCCAGTCGCCGACGGTCATGAAGAACTTGTTGTGCGTCGGGTTGCGCTGGATGGAGTAGATGGGCCCGTGGTGCTTGCCCGCGCCCGCGTCGTAGACCGTGATGCCGTTGTTCTGCTTCCGGTTCCTTAGATTGAGGGAGAGGACGATGCCCTGCTCCGTGCCCACGAGGTACTTCGTCGGGATCTCCTTGTTGTACTCCATGGACGACCCGCCGAGCACCATGCCCGAACCCTTCGCGTCCGAGTTGAGGAGGAGCTTGTCGACGGGCTCGCCGAGGCGCCGCGTGTCCCACCAGAGCATCTGGCCGTCGGTGGACACGGAGGCGCACTGGTTGCCCGTCTTCGACGAGATCCAGAAGACGTCGTAGATGGGGTCGTGGTGGCTCTTCTCGATGACGGACGACTCGAGCGGCGACCCGCCGCCCTGGCGCCGGAGGTCGTAGAACGTCACGAGGCCGTTGTAGGAGCCGCCGACGAGCGTGTCCGTCGACTTCGGGTTGAAGCGCAGGCAGCAGAGGGGGCTCGGCGGCGTGAGCTCCGTGTCCGGCGTGTTCGGGTTGATGATGTCCCAGATGTAGCTCTGCACGGGGAGCCGCGCGGACGCGAACCGCGAGTCCTGGAAGTTGAGGATGGAGTAGGACACGGCGATCTTCGTCGGGCCCTCGGGGTGCCAGTGGATGGACGTCGCCGTGCGCTTCATGGCGTTGGGGTCCCGGAAGACCGCGAGGCCCTTGGCGCTCGGCGGCTCGCCCGACCAGTCGCGGTCGTCGCGCGAGAAGTACTCCTCGTAGATGTCGATGGTGTTGTTCTGGCGCATGCAGCGCGAGATGATGGGGCCCAGGTTCTTCATGGTCGTCTTGTAGTCCTCGTCCTTCTCCGCCTTCTTGCGGTACCGGTTCACGTCCGTCGGCTCCGCGGCGTCGACGTCCTTGGGCCAGCCGCCCTCCATGTGGCGGATGCTCGAGTTCTTCACCACGAGGCGCTCCGTGTTCGTCTCGTGCTCGCTCATGTGGGGGCTCGTGTCCAGCGTCGCCACGCTCGGGTTCCGCAGCACGAAGGACTTGTCGAACTCGTCGCTCGGGGCCACGCTGAAGAGGATGCGCGTCTCCGGGTCCTCGAAGCGCACCTGCTTCCCAAAGTCGCTCCGCACCTTCGTGTAGAGGTAGGCGACCTCCATGGCGCCTCACCCCCCGCGCCCCGGACCGCGACTGCGAGCGACGGCGGTCGGCCTAACAACCGCAGCGCAGCAGCTCGAAACGAGCAGCCCGCCCGCGTTGTATATCTTCAAGAAGCTGACCGTGCCATCTTTTTGGCAGGGAGCATGGCGAGAGTCACGCGCGCACTGCTCGCACGCGACCCTCACTAATCGACGCGATGGCGTCGCCGCGCGACGGCGCGTCGCCCGCGGGCCTGCCGCGCGTGGAGACGCTGCAGACCTGGGACGCCTGGCTGACGCTTTCCGGCTCGCCGCGCACGGAGGCCGACGCGCCGGCCCGGTGCGACCCCGCGGGCGCGCGCGCCGGCGGCGACCGGCTGCTCGACGCCGTGCTCGTCGCGCCGGGCCTGCCGCGGAGCATGACCGTGGCCCACCTGCAGTCCGCCGCGGGCCTCCTGCGCGACGGCTACGGCACGTCCGAGGAGCAGTGCCGCCTCGAGCTGCTCTGCGCGGCCGCGGCGACGGAGCTGCCCGGGCCCGCGTCTTTGCCGCGGTCCATCGCGTCGGGCGAGGTCGACGACGACGACACGGACAGCGGCGGCGACGACGGGGGGTCGCCGCGGCTCCGGAGCGCGGGCTCCGTCGCCGACGATTTGGAGCGCCTCGCGGAGCGCTACGGCGCGGCCGAGGCGCGGGGCCGCGACGGCGGCGGCGTCGCCGCCGCGCGCGCGCTCATCGACCGCGGCCTCGTCGCGCGCGACACCGCGGACTTCCGGCGCTCGGCCGCGCGGCAGACGGCGCAGCTCCTCCGGGTCATGNGCGGCGCGCGTCGCCGCGGGCCGGCTCGACGGCGCGCACATCGCCNAGATCTTCGGCGGCGCGCTGGGCCAGCCCGGCGGCGACGCCGCCGCCATCTTAGGGGACCTCGCCGCGCGCTGCGACGCCGAGGGCGGCGCCGGCGCCGCCGCGGGCGGCCGGGGGCTGAGCCGGCAGGGCATGCTCCAGGTGAAGCACGTCGTCCACCTCGTCGTGAGCCTCCACCTCATGTCGAAGCACGCCGGCGCGGACCTGGAGGACGCGACGCGCGCGCCCAAGGCCTTCTTCAAGCCGCGGCCCGTGCGCCGGCCGCGCGCGGACTCGCCGCGGGCCCGGCGGCCGCGGCAAGAGCGCGCGCGCGGCTCCTGGTGGGACGCGCTCGCGGCGCCCTTTCTTTCGAGTGACGCGTCCGCAAACCCCGCGCCGTCGCCGCGGTCCGACGAGCACCTCGCCGCGGCCGCGCGCGTCGGCACGCCGCGCGACTTCGTCGCGCCGTTGGACGCGACGACGGGCCTCCGGAGCTGGGCGCGGCCCGCGGACGCCTTCGCGGCCTACGAGGCGGCGACGGCGTCGCGCCGCGGCGCCCAGCTCTCGGACTCGAAGCGCATCTGGCTCATCTCCGACGTCCACGTCGAGGCGCCGGAGAACGGCCGGTGGCTCGACGATTTGGCGCCGCGGCCCGGCGACGCGGTCATCGTCGCCGGCGACGTGGCGACGAACCTCGACGCGCTCGCGGCGGCGCTCTGCATCTTCCGGGCCAAGTTCAAGCACGTCTTCTTCGCGCCGGGGAACCACGAGCTCTGGGTCATGCTCGACGCGCGCGGCGCGGCGCGGACCGGCGACACCGGCGGCGACGAGTCGCCGTCGCGCCCGCCGCCGGCGGACTCCGTGGACAAGCTCTTCCGCATCTTGCAGCTCTGCGACGAGCTCGGGGTCCACACGTCGCCCGCGTTCGTCGGCGACGCGCTCGTCGTGCCGCTCTTCTCCTGGTACAAGCGCGCCGAGGGCGCGAGCCACGCGGGTTTACTGGAGTACTTCGACGGCGCCTGCGCGTGGCCCTGGCCCGGCTGCGCGTCGAGCCTGGACGACTGCGTCGCGGACTTTTTCCTCGCGCTCAACGAGGGGACGCTGGACTGGGTCGACCGGCATCGGGGCGACCGGCCCGTCATCTCCTTCTCCCACTTCGTGCCCCAGGTCGACTCCCTCTTCCCGGGCTTCGTCGCCTTCCGCCACGTCATGGGCTGCGACGACCTCGACGTCCAGCTCGAGCGCCTCGCGCCGCGCGTCCACGGCTTCGGCCACAGCCACATCAACGTCGACGAGATGATCCGCGGCACGCGCTACGTGCAGCAGGCGCTGGGCCACCCGAGCGACGGCCTCTCCGACGCGCGGCACCGCGAGGGCCCCGTGCTGGTGTGGTCCTCGCTCGACTTCGACGACGACTTCGACTACGACGAGCAGCACGACCTCGTCGTCAACTGGTTCGCCGCGGGGTCGACGCCGCCGGGGTCGCGGCTCGCGGACATGGGCTTCTCGAGGCCCGGCGCCTGCCCCCTCTGCGCGCCCGGGAAGCCGGCGGCCGCGTGCGTCGCCTGCCCGAGGGCGCCCGCGCGGCCGCCGCCCGCGTCGCCGTCGGACGGCGGCCTCGAGTCCGACGACGAGGCGAACCTCTTTTAACCGCGCTTCGACCATCGCCGGGCCGCCCAGAGGCACGCCAAAGCGGCCGCGACGCGGGGAAACCGGAGGCGCCGGCGGCGCGCGGCCTCCCCGGCGAGGAGCCGCGCGAAGAACGCGGTCGCGCGGAGGTCGTCGAGGCGCGAGGTCCCGAGCGGCGCGAGCGCGTCGAGGCGCGCGTCGGACTCGGGCACGCCCGTGGCGATGACGTCGTGGTTGTCCGCGAGGCACGCGCGGAACGCGTCCCAGCGCGGGGCCACGGCGCCCTCGAGCACGGGCCTTATGCGCTCCGCGTAGTGGCGCCGGAGGCCCTCCGAGTTCGCCGGGTCGAGGAGGCGGAAGTGCCCGCCGCCGATGAAGCTCAGCTCGATGGACCCGGCCAAGTAGCGCAGCGGGAGGCCCGGGTCCTCGCCGAGGACGCGGAGTAGGAAGTCGGCCGTCGACGTGTAGTTGAAGAGCGCGAGGACGCAACCCAAAAAAACCTCCTCGGTCGCGAGCATGGTCCGCCCCACGATGGTCCGCTTCAACAGATCCACGGTGTTCGTCACGGGCCAGGGCACGTCCATGGGCCCGTAGCACCGCAGGTCCAGGGAGACGCGGTCCTTCGTGCCGTACCCGAGGCCCGTGTCCGAGTGCGCGCGCCAATTGTTGAAGAAGAGCGCGTCGCCGGGCTCGAGGCGCCACCAGGTCCCGTCGCCCGCCGTCGCGTTCGGGCCGCAGGCCTGCTGCCGCCAGTAGGCCGCCGTGAGCCAGTCCATGAGCGACCGGCGCCAGGGCGTGCCCACCAGGGAGAGAGGGTCGTCATCCATCTCTCCGAACGCGAGGCTCGCGAGGCGCCGCGTGGCCGAGTCCGTCGCCGGGTCCCCGAGGAGGCTCGCGGCGGCGTAGGCGTCGTTGAACTGCTCGGGCACGTGGCCGTCGAAGATGGAGAAGGGGCTCGCGAACTCGTCCGTGGGCGTCACGGCCGTGTGGAACGACGCGTGCTTTTCGACGGTGAACCAGCGCCGGCGGTGCCACGGCGCCGTCTGCCAGGCGAAGGACGACGCGTGATGCAGGCCGTAGGCCTGGGACTGGCCGCCGCCGGCGGGGACGCCGAAGGCGTTGCAGTCGCAGGCGACGACGTCCGGGAACTCGCGCGCCACGACGTCCGCGTTGAGCGCGTAGAACTCCGGGCACGCCGCGTTGACGAGGACGTTGTTCTCGAACTCGAGGGACCACGGTAGATATCCATTAAGCATCTCCGTGTCCGTGACCATCTTGATGCCCTTCTCGAGGGCCTTGATGCGCAGCACGTCCGCCGCGACGCGGGCCCGGAGGTCGTCGGGCAGCCGCATCCGCACGACCCGCGTGGGCGCGTGCTGCTCGGGGAAGGCCGTGCGGACGGGCTCCAGCGTCCCCGCACGCAGCCGGTGGAGGATCCGCGCCTCCGCCGCCGCAGCGTCGAGGCCCGCCGTCGTCTTCTCCACCGCCGGCGTCAGCGCCTCGACCTGGGCCGTCGCCGCGGCGCAGAGGCTCCGGCCGCGCTCCGCCGTCCAGGCGTCCGCAGCGCCGCCGAGGCAGAGGAGGACGGCCGTTGCGCGCATCATGGTTGTGAGCTATGTGAGCGCACTCACGTCGGGCAGCAGGCCCCGACTCGATGGTGGGAAGCCATGCCGAAGGCTATGCGAGCGGGCCCCACTCGATGGTGGGAAGCCATGCCGACCTCGGGCAGCTACGGCACCTTTAGGGAAACAACATCTTCAACAAAACTACGCGTCGCCCGGCGCGTGCGACCTGGCGAAGTCGACGTAGGCGGCGGCGGACTCGACGATGAAGTCGATCTCGCCGGGCTTCAGGCGGCGCATGAACTTGGCCGGCCGGCCGCCCCAGAGCTCGCCGGCGCCGACGGTCTTGCCGCCCGTGAGCAAGCTGCCCGCCGCGAGCATGGAGTCCTCCTCCATGGTCGCGTGGCTCATGACCGTCGCGCTCATGCCGACGAAGGAGCGGTCGCCGAGCGTGCACGCGTGGAGGAGGGCCATGTGGCCCACGGTGACGTCCTCGCCGACGATCGTCGGGCGCGAGCCCTTGGCGCCGAGGCGGTCGCTGTCGACGTGGACGACAGTGCCGTCCTGGATGTTCGACCGCGCGCCGATGCGGATGGCCGCGCCGTCGCCGCGGAGCACGCAGTTGTACCAGACCGACGCGTCGCGGGCGAGCGCGACGTCGCCGACGACCGACGCCGTCGACGCGCAGAAGGCCGCGGCGGCGACGTCGGGCGTGCAGCCGTGGTGCTCAAAGGTCACGCCACGTTCCTGCGCGCGTCGAGGACGTGCGACCCGTGACGTCCCGAGAGCAGACCGCGACGGAGCGCCTGCCGCGCGTCGGAGCACGAGCATCGTCTTGGCGAAGCAACGACAACCTCACGTATCCGCCGCGGTTGCTCGTAGCGCGGCGCTCTCGCAGTCGGCTGGGCTCTCCCAACAGCGCTGCGCCTGAACCAGCACCTGCCCCAGAACCAGAGCCACCTGCGCCAGAGCCTGAACCAGCACCTGCACCAGAACCAGAGCCAGCACCTGCGCCAGAACCTGAACCAGCACCTGCGCCAGAACCTGAACCAGCACCTGCGCCAGACCCATGATCGGCCGGACGGCGTTGGCGTTGCTCATCGAGAGCAAGCGCGACGAGGAGGACCCGCGGGTCCTGCCGTTCTCCTGGGGCGACGACAGCGGCTGGGCGCGCCAGTCCTTCGCGCCCGCCCCGCAGCCCGGGCGGCTGAGCCTGCCGAGCGTGCGGTCCAACGCGCTCGCCGTGGGGTCCTTCGCGTCCCAGGGCCCGCCGTCGAGCTACGGCGAGACGTCCGCGCGGCTCCTGGCGAAGAAGCGGAAGACGCGCGCGGACCGCGAGATGGAGACGGTGCGCCGCGCGCAGACGTGGTTCGCGCCGCACTTGGTGGGCAACCTGTGTGGAAAACACTTCAACGTGCGCGATTCGGCATGCGACCATGTATTCCTCCGTCGAGCACTCGCCGAGAGCAGACGACGCGTCCAAAAATCGGCCGAATCGACGTCGATGCGACCGAGCTCGAGACTTGGTCGGGATAACCCGGCTCACCGTTTGATTTCCACACAGGTGGGCAACCCGGCGGCGCGCCAGAAGCCCTACCGGTGGCCCGGCTCGCCGAACCGCGGCGCGGCCGTGTCACGGAGCCTCGGGCTCGCCGCGTCGACGCAGTCGCTCGAGGATCCGTCCCGGCGATCGCGCGAGTCCGCGCCCGGCACCGTCGCGTCGTCGACCGTCGCGTCGCGGGCCCGGTCCGTGCCCGGGGCTTTGTTCCTCGACGACGACGACGACGACCTGCTCACGGAGCCCGCGGGGTCCGTGCGCTTCAGCGACGACGCGCGGCTCGGGCCGCCGAAGCCGCCGTCGGCCGCGGATCTGCGCGCGCTCGCGCGGATCAAGACGCCGTCCGAGGACCTGGCCCTGCTCGCCGCCGCGCTGCTCGTCCTCGTCCACGGCGACGGCGGCATGCCCGAGGACGTCAAGTGGCCCCACTTCGTGCGCCGCGCGAAGGACGGCGACGACCTCAAGGCCGCGGCGCGCGACGTCGGCCCCATCGAAGACTTCAAGCGCCGGGCCCTCCACTCCTTCCTCGACGGCCGCCTCAAGACGAGCGTGGCGCCCTTCTCGAAGCGCCAGGGCCGCGCGGTGCGCACGCTCGAGGCCTGGGTGCGGTCCGCGCTCAAGGAGGCGGACGACCGCGCGGGGGGGTTCTAACTTCCTCGGTTACTGGCGCGCGCGGCGCTTGAGGAGCGCCGCCTGCTTGTTCGCCTCGATGCGCGCGCGCTGCGCGCTCGTGAGGCCCGCGGGCTGCGGCGCGCGGTTCTCCTTCGGACGCGCGGCGGCCGGCTCCTTGGGCGCCCAGGCGCCCGGAGGCGCCGCGGCCCGGGTCGACGCGGCCGACGGCTCCTTGGGCGCCCAGGCGACCGGAGGCGCGGCGGCCCGCGTCGACGCGGCCGGCGGCGGCGGCGCGGCGGCCGGCGGCGGCGGCGCGGCGGCTCGCGGCGCCGGCGGCGCGGGCGCGCCGCCCGCGGCGACGGGCGCCGGGACGCGGAACTTGCCGACGGGTGGCGGCCCGCGCTTGGACCGCGGCGGCCCGCGCTTCGGCGG